TGTGTTACTACTAGACAACAACTGGGTTTGGTTTGGTGGGTATCATAACGACCTGAGGTGATAGTATCTAAGTAAAATTATTACTTGTGTTACTAGACAACAACCGTTGAGGGTATCATAACAACCCGAGGTGATAGTATCTAAGTAAAATTATTACTTGTGTTACTAGACAACAACTGGGTTTGGAGGGTATCATAACGACCTGAGGTGATAGTATCTAAGTAAAATTATTACATGTGTTACTACTAGACAACAACTTGGTTTGGAGGGTATCATAACGACCTGAGGTGATAGTATCTAAGTAAAATGATTACTTGTGTTACTAGACAACAACCGTTGAGGGTATCATAACAACCTGAGGTGATAGTATCTAAGTAAAATTATTACCTGTGTTACTACTAGACAACAACTGGGTTTGGAGGGTATCATAACGACCTGAGGTGATAGTATCTAAGTAAAATTATTACCTCCCAGTTGTTGTCTAGTAACACAAGTAATAATTTTACTTAGGTACTATCACCTCAGGTCATTAGGATACCCTCCAAACCAAGTTGTTGTCTAGTAGTAACACAGGTAATAATTTTACTTAGATACTATCACCTCAGGTCGTTATGATACCCACCAAACCCTGAGATCAACTTAAGTTGTAGCAATGGAAGAGTAACATTAACTTTGGTCGTTGTCCTGGGCAAATGAGATCAACTTAAATAGTAGCTGTGGAAGAGTAAGATTAACTTTGGTTGTAGTCCTGGGGAAATGAGATCAACTTAAGTTGTAGCTGTGGAAGAGTAAGATTAACTTTGGTCGTAGTCCTGGGGAAATGAGATCAACTTAAGTTGTAGCTGTGGAAGAGTAAGATTAACTTTAGAACAACATCAACTTTTGTTTTATTCTTGAGGTAATTATATCAGCTTCAAGTTTAATCTTGGGTAATAAGATGAAATCACCGTAGTCCTAAGGAAATAAGATTAGCTGATAAAAGCTATATTTATGTATCATAAAATTCATTCTGTTATGCGTGTTAATAAAATCAAATAGAAACCATTTCATACGTAGTTGTATATTTCAAATTAATAAACTTAAACATTCTTTCGACTATTTATGAAGTCTGTTTTATTTTCCATTTATTAGAAGGAACTGTGATTGGACAGAAAACATTAAGGATGAAGAATCCCATATCTTTGGATCTCCTTATGGATCTAGCAGGATTGATCAGTAAGCAGTTTGGGATTTTAGCAGTCTAGAAACATGTAATTAGCAACACACGTGGATTTTTCTAGTTATAATTTGCAAAAAGAAAATAGACAGTTTTCTGTTTTTTTTTGTTGTTCTTTTTTTTACAAAGGGTAACTAACATCACACCAAAATTCATCGTTAAGTATTGAACACGTGACTTTATTTAAAGAACGATATAGGAAACAAAGTACAGCATGCACGAGCTATGTGTGTTTGTGTGTGCAAAGTAGGGTAGTTTGTCTGTTTGTTGACGTCAGAAATTGTGAAGGAAGTTTGAAGTAAACCCTCCACACACCGAGTTTAATTCGATAAGCAATCTGACTAGCAGTTTGAGTTTGACGACATTAAACAAAATAACACGGCAACCTTTGAAGATAACCCAGATAAATGTGAGCGAACCTTGAGATATAAGATAAATTATATATTCGTTTCTAGTGACAACATAAATATCCTCGTGACGTCAAAAACAAGCGTACAAAAAGTCATATAAATAGGGACTGTCAAACCTGGTAACCAGACAGAGAAAAACACTTTGTGAGATAGGTTTAGTATCCTCTACCTTCCTGCTTGAAAACATTTAAAGAAAACGGTAGGTTGTATTTAATATATCGGTAGTTATTTTTTTTCTATTCCAGTTCAAAAATATAATCTGCATTAATCATGTCTGCGGGTTTTTTAATGTAATAAGGCGTGTTTTACACATTGTTTACAGTTTCATTACAGCTATATGACCTAAATTAACCATGACTGCCGTTTTCATATGACACTAAATCTTTTTTTGCTACTCCTAACTCTAGAAGCAATATTTTAACGTCTCTTCACGTCCAGGAGACTAGGATACCCCCACCCCCCAAACTACACGTTACTCACCTGTATTAACTAGAAACTACACGTTACTCACCTGTATTAGCTAGAAACTACACGTTACTCACCTGTATTAACTAGAAGCTACATGTTACTCACCTTTATTAACTAGAAGTTACACGTTACTCACCTGTATTAACTAGAAACTACACGTTACTCACCTGTATTAACTAGAAGTTACACGTTACTCACCTGTATTAACTAGAAGTTACATGTTACTCACCTGTATTAACTAGAAACTACACGTTACTCACCTGTATTAACTAGAAGTTACATGTTACTCACCTGTATTAATAGAAGTTACACGTTACTCACCTGTAACTTTGGTCGCAGTCCTGGGGAAATGAGATCAACTTAAGTTGTAGCAATGGAAGAGTAAGATTAACTTTGGTTGTAGTCTTGGGGAAATAAGATCAACTTAAGTTGTAGCTGTGAAAGAGTAAGATTAACTTTGGTTGTAGTCCTGGGGAAAGTTACTCACCTGTATTAACTAGAAACTACACGTTACTCACCTGTATTAACTAGAAGGGGAAAGATAAGTTTAAACCTGAAGAAACAGTTCACAGAGATCATTGTTCTTATTGTTGTTAGGAAAGATAAGTTTAAACCCGAAGGAACAGTTCACAGAGATCATTGTTCTTATTGTTGTTAAGAAAGATAAGTTTAAACCCGAAGGAACAGTTCACAGAGATAATTGTTCTTATTGTTGTTAGGAAAGATGAGTTTAAACCTGAAAGAACAGTTCACAGATATCATTGTTCTTATTGTTGTTAGGAAAGATAAGTTTAAACCTGAAGGAACAGTTTGATTTACCTAGTTACAATGTGTTAAAGTTGTGTTTACTTGTTTTTTTATTTAGTTATAATGTGTTATCGTAATCTTTACCGTATTGTGTTATAAAGTGTTACTATTGTTTTGATGTATCGCTAAAGTGTTCCAGGGTAAATGTCCATGTGGGACTATCTTAATAATAAGGTGATTTTGTCGCCACCTGGTGGTTAATTCATTACAGCTGTGTTCTTTGGTGAAAGCAAGTCACAACAGTTTTTACTTTATTGGTGTGAGAGAAAACTAACAACATGTAGAAGCTTATCGTAACAGAAAAACACAATAAACTTGAACACAACACACGTTACTCCAGCACACACAACAATACTTCAACAGAACACGTTTCTCTAACATAACAACACACGTTACTTCAGCACACTCAACAATACTTCAACATGACACGTTTCTTGAACACAACACACGTTACTCCAGCACACTCAACAATACTTCAACATGACACGTTTCTCTAATACAACAACACACGTTACTCCAGCACACACAACAATACTTCAACAGAACACGTTTCTCTAACATAACAACACACGTTACTTCAGCACACACAACAATACTTCAACAGAACACATTTCTTGAACACAACACACGTTACTCCAGCACACAAAAATACTTCAACAGAACACATTTCTTGAACACAACACACGTTACACTAGCACACAAATCAATACTTCAACAGAACACGTTTCTCTAACATAACAACACACGTTACTCCAGCACACACAACAATACTTCAACAGAATACGTTTCCTTATACAACAACACACGTTACTCCAGCACACAAATCAATACTTCAACAGAACACGTGTCTCTAACATAACAACACACGTTACTCCAGCACACAGAACAATACTTCAACAGAATACGTTTCCTTATACAACAACACACGTTACTCCAGCACACAAATCAATACTTCAACAGAACACGTTTCTTGAACACAACACACGTTACTCCAGCACACACAACAATACTTCAACAGAATACGTTTCCTTATACAACAACACACGTTACTCCAGCTCACACAACAATACTTCAACAGGACACGTTTCTCTAACATAACAACACACGTTACTCCAGCACACACAACAATACTTCAACAGAATACGTTTCCTTATACAACAACACACGTTACTCCAGCACACACACAACAATACTTCAACAGAACACGTGTCTCTAACATAACAATAAACGTGATATAAATTAAATGACTCTACAAGAATCCTGGTCGTTGAGTTGTTACGTGACGTCAAAGGACTCGTGTTGTTCTACTTTTCGTAGTTTGTAACACTATATTAAATTTCCTGGTTAGATCATTGCACGAGGTAAGCTTATCCACGTTTCTAGGGCGATTCATGCACGTAGAAGGTTGAATTAAAAAAAACGTTCTTCCCTTGAAAGGAACTAGAGGAATTATGAACTTGAAACTTGCAGATGTAGCTGACAAGTTGTCAATGTTTCTTCGAGACATCGACTTGTTTAAGACGTTTTGATTATTAACAACTAGAAGCTACACGTTACTCACCTGTATTAACTAGAAGTAACACGTTACTCACCTGTATTAACTAGAAGTTACACGTTACTCACCTGTATTAACTAGAAGTTACACGTTACTCACCTGTATTAACTAGAAGTAACACGTTACTCACCTGTATTAACTAGAAGTTACACATTACTCACCTGTATTAACTAGAAGTAACACGTTACTCACCTGTATTAACTAGAAGTTACACGTTACTCACCTGTATTAACTAGAAGTTACACAACAACAATAAGAACAATGATCTCTGTGAACTGTTCCTTCAGGTTTAAACTTAGGAAAGATAACAACAATAAGAACAATGATCTCTGTGAACTGCAGGGTACTGACTTTGGTGAATGTTATATGTTAGAAATCCTCTAATAAAGCAGGGTACAGAGTTTGGTGAATGTTATATGTTAGAAATCCTCTAATAAAGCAGGGTACAGAAGTTGGTGAATGGTGTATGTTGGAAATCCTCTAATAAAGCAGGGTACAAAGTTTGGTGAATGTTATATGTTGGAAATCTTCTAATAAAGCAGGGTACAGAAGTTGGTGAATGGTGTATGTTGGAAATCCTCTAATAAAGCAGGGTCCAGAAGTTGGTGAATGTTATATGCTAGAAATCCTCTAATAAAGCAGGGTACAGAGTTTGGTGAATATTATATGCTAGAAATCCTCTAATAAAGCAGGGTACAGAGTTTGGTGAATGTTATATGTTAGAAATCCTCTAATAAAGCAGGATCCAGACTTTGGTGAATGTTATATGTTAGAAATCCTCTAATAAAGCAGGGTTTAGCTCTCAGTAACGAAATGTTTCAGCTGCTAGTTTTAAGAATCCTTTCAGAGTAAACTGGTAACTCCTCACTCAGTTATCAAGTTCCCTTTGGCTGAGAGTGAGACTAACTTTTTTAAACATTTCAAAATGCCACTATCAGTAATCTTGTGTCGATTATATTTGTCCTTTGTTTGTTAGATCTTCCTAACGTTATAATGTTTATTCAGAAGATAATAAAACATTATGAAGCTGTTGGCTTTCTGGATTTGTTCTAACAACTGGCAGGTTTGTTTTTGTAATAATTCCGAGTTATAGGTCTGCTAAGAACGAAGAGTAAATCATAATCGTCGTATTTATCTGATTTTTCATTTCTCACGTGTTATACGTGCTATGAAACAAATGGCAAGGCTTAGCAGAGGCATTTTTTGAGAGTGTGATGACCAACAATAAAACTCTGGATGTCCACACGCACGAGCTGACTAACGTTACCCTCCTAACCTAGATTTTCCTTGTGGAAGACGTACTAAAGTAAAAACAAGAAATAACAGTGATATAAACGGATCATTGGCTTACTGACCTATATCGCAACCAATAAAGTTTTAGTGCTAAGCCAGTAGAATCTTTTGTCCTCACCGTTAACTTTCAAGGTTAGAAGCAACAAGGGACATTCACGAGGACATCGCATCTGGCTAAAGCAGAGACGAATCTTACCCCTATTCCTATCAGTTATGTAAGTATACCTAATAGGCAAATGAAAGATTTGTTATTTGTTCCTTTTCTAGATTTATCTACACCTAAACTAGTGACATATTCTAATATTGATAGTAATAGTTACTCGCGTAGGATCAAATAACTTTTGTAAATAGCGTCAAAAAAAAGGTAAAAACCCAAGCGCTTCCATCAGGTTATCCTGTTTTCTTCAGTGGTAAAGGTAGATATCATACAAAGTATTAGCATGGTAATACACACCTTGACGTTAATATTTAGTCTTCTCGTTAAAACAGGGTACATGGTAATACACACCTTGACGTTAATATTTAGTCTTCTAGTTAAAACAGGGTACATGGTAATATACACCTTCACATTAATATTTAGTCTTCTAGTTAAAACAGGGTACATGGTAATATACACCTTCACATTAATATTTAGTCTTCTAGTTAAAACAGGGTACATGATAATAATATACACCTTCACATTAATAATTGTCTTCTTGTTAAAACAGGGTACATGATAATAATATACACCTTCACATTAATATTTAGTCTTCTAGTTAAAACAGGGTACATGATAATACACACCTTGACGTTAATAATACTCTTCTTGTTAAAACAGGGTACATGATAATATACACCTTCACATTAATATTTAATCTTCTAGTTAAAACAGGGTACATCGTATTTTACTGTATAGTTGTGAGAGTTTCTATATAACACAAGTTTGATTTTCTTGATTTTTACTGCTTTACGAAAGTTATGGCATAAACATAGTATGAAAACGGTGATTCATATTTTGGATTGTTTGATAGGTTTAATTAAAAACTTCTGTTTCCTCTTTGTCTGTTTTATGACTCATCAATTATTAAAATTAATATTTAAAGTGGAAATGATACAACATTTTAGACAAGGGTATTCAGTGAAGAAAAATCCACCCTCGTAACCAGCTGAGTCTAGATCGTGAGTTAATCTTGACACATGCACGTGCTTGAGGTCACTGAAACCCTGTTTCTTTAGGTTGGGTTAAAGAAGCCACTTCCTAGAATGTCTGTACGAAACCCAAACCCTGTCTTTTTAGGCTCAACTGTAGAAACCACTGTCTAAAATTTCTCTGTTTTTAGTGTCAATAAAGTCGTCCATTCTTCTATTAATTAAGCAGTAGGCTTAGTAGAAGTTATTAAAATTTTTGTTCTCACCGCCAGAAGAGAAAAAAATTAAGATATATTAAAGACTGAGTATTAAATCACAGTGATTTTTTCACTCTTAGTATTGTTGTTAGGAAAGATAAGTTTAAGCCTGAAGGAACAGTTCACAGAGATCATTGTTCTTATTGTCGTTAAGAGAGAGAAGTTTAAACCTGAAGAAACTTTATTAGAGGATTTCCAACATATAACATTCACCAAAGTCTGGACCCTGCTTTATTAGAGGATTTCCAACATATAACATTCACCAAACTCTGTACCCTGCTTTATTAGAGGATTTCTAACATACACCGTTCACCAAACTCTGTACTCTGCTTTATTAGAGGATTTCCAACATATAACATTCACCAAACTCTGTACCCTGCTTTATTAGAGGATTTCTAACATATAACATTCACCAAACTCTGTACCCTGCTTTATTAGAGGATTTCTAACATATAACATTAACCAAACTCTGTACCCTGCTTTATTAGAGGATTTCC